GATATATATATATATATATATATATATATATATATATATATATATATATATATATATATATATATATATATATATATATATTGTACGCTTCTAGCATGCGAATGAAATGTATGTGCTGGAATTCGTTCTACCCGGCATCTATTACCCTGGGTGTGATGAGCCCGTGATGGTCACTGTGTTCCTATACCTCATCGCACAGAAGCCCCACCACAAAACCCACGCAAACCCTTACGCAAACATCTGAATGTTTGCCTCGTCAGTCGCAGGCCGTTCGCGTCTTTGATGCGGCTTTAAATGGTTGCGCGCCAGATACGCCGCCGATTCGTCGTTACGGAGGTGACGTTGTGCGGTCGACCATGCGGTCGGTCAACAGAGCAAATTTGTTTGCGACTGCCGCCATCATTTAAAGATCGGACTCGTAGGCAGCTAGCACTGTATCGACTCTTGTTTGGGAGAGGGTGAGTCATGGGAAATACTCGTTAGAACTTGCCGTACGGCACGCGAAGGCCCTGTTATATCAACAGCAACAGGCAGGCCAAATTTGTATGTGTCTGTCAAATTTGTATGTATCATGCAGTCAAACTTTGTTTTCTACCCATCACCCATCCCTGGTCACCTATAACGGATGAGCACCCTAGACATTCACAAACGGATGACCAGGAGTGTCCGTCTCTGTCCACTGTACCTGACATAGGCATAGAGTACCATCCACTGCACAGAACCGTGCATTAACATCCAACTTAGCAACATAAAATTTCAGTCACGCACTCGTGCACGCGCACGCACAAGTGTAACTTACAAGTTAGAGAGAAATGAAGGAAGTCAGCGTCAAAAATGATGACTGACAGGCCTCTGGCATCACGATTCACGTCAATGCAATGTACACTACAACGTCTGATTAATGCGTTGAATAGCTTTGGGGCAAGTCAGGGTCCTGGCCTGGTCAAATGTATGCCGATTCCCTTGCCAACGGAAGATGAAGCACGCTTGCTGTTCAACGGTTGACAGAGGTACCACTGTCAACCACTGAACAGTTAGGGTTGTCATAGTTGAACTGGACACAATGTTCCAACCTACGTTGTATGTCACACACAGCTGCAAGCACGGACACACCCACCCACACCCACACCCATACCCATACCCATACCCATACCCACACCCACGCCCACCCACCCACCCACACCCACACACCCACACCCATATATATATATATATATATATATATATATATATATATATATATAATTTTGCGAAGATGGGTTCTAAGTAGGCGGGTGAAAATGCATAATTGAATGCCCTGGCAGCTCATTTTGTAGCATTATGCGGCGATGAAGTTGTGATTTATTGTTAATGTCCCATACGAGGCAACAGTCGTAATATAAGTAAGAGGCAAGAGATGGAGAGCAACAGAGCATGCTATGATTTGATTGTACCGTCTGCTTTGGTAAATTATATCTGCGTTGTGGCTTATAATGGAAGCTATTCGTTCATATGACAAGAAAATTCCCAGTATTTTGTGAACACAACCCTGAAATATGTAAGGTTCTCTTTGCCCTCAATTCAATACCCATCTAGCGATGTGTTTTTCTTAGATTCCAGCAATCTATGCTGAGATCAGATCCCTGGGTCCTGGATCTTGATCTTGAATTGGTCACAGGAAAAAACCTGGTAAATATCAATTAATTGCGCCTTAACTGAATTTCATAAAAAATGTCAAAAAGATGCACCAACTGACGAATGTTGTGCAAGACACGATGACGTAGTCAAACAATGACGCATTGAGGAACATATCTACTAAACAGAGAACTAGTGTTGTCTAGAAACAGTCTTTTGCACTGAAAAGCATAACAATAGCTATTAAGGAAGTCCTTTCATCATCTCTGATGTTTGCTTCAATATCGTCAAAGGCGGAACATTCCCCTTAATGTGAAACGTGATTCGTGATCGAGGCATGCAATGAGCAGCGCAATTTAACCCTAGCCAATTACTTTTTGTCGCTGGAACACCTGATGCTGGATCACCGCAAACACGAATGTTTAAGTGGCTACATTTATCTCCACCATCAGGACAACACAGCCGATAAGGTGGTTTGTTTGCGTGACCTCTCTGTGACGTCATCCATGTCTGGGTGACTTACCCATGGGCGGCGCGCGGTAGGCGGCCCATGGGTAAGTCACCACAATTAGCACAGGGTAAGCACAAGTTCCCGTGCGTCAAGCTCAAAAAAGAAGGTTTGCAGTGTTTAAGAAGGCACGGCTGAACACTGCAGGCAATTATCATGAAAATGGCTATCTCAGTTCAAAACATCATACATGTGTGGAACATTCCCTGCAACATAGTGTCCACTTCCGTGATCGTGTGCCAGATTTAATTTTGCATATTTCCCTTGCAATGCATTGGCAGCAGCCCGTGGTGTCTAAGGGCGGACCCAGCATTTCGTCAAGGATGTGGCCACGTTTTATTGCATTGTATTTTATTCTATCGTATTTTCAGTGTATTCATTGCTTTAATTGTATTTTGATTGCATTGCTCCTGAAACTTGATGTTTCCCCTTCACAAAAATACTCAAATTTCGGTTACTCCATTTCTGGATATTTACTTTTTAGGTAGAAACTATTTTTCGAAGTGTATCGTGGAGGGCTCAGCATAGTACGTAGGTACATGGGGGTTTTACTTTCTCAAGAGACGGTTTTTTCGTCTAGGCCATTCTAAGCCTAGGTATTTCGAAGAGCATGCAACAAAATCATTTAAAGTGGACTACTATATAACATCCAAGGGTGGTAAAACTTGCCGACATAGTGAATAAGGTCGGCGATAACAATGTTCAAATTCACGCGACACTTGGTGCCTCATATGATAAGGTGTTTAATCCATTTGCTTCAAACATCGATGGCAGTGATCCTGCACTATCATATGATGATTATGAAAAACTAAGAGAAGCATGCACATTCTATTTACCTGAAAAGGTAAAAACTGTTATTCCACATAGCATCAGTGCACTTAACCTTATGCATGTTAACGTTCGGTCAATCCTGAAGAAGCAAGATGATTTAAGTAGTCTGCTTGCCCGGACTGATATAACATGGCATGTAATTTCTATATCTGAAACATGGCTGTCTGCAGCCTTGCAAACTCATTATGACTTACCCGGATACCAAGCTTTCTACTGCAGCAGATCAAAAGGGGTAGATGGTGGATCAGCAGAATACATTGCTGATCATCTTCATCCTATACAACTTAGCAATCCAGTTTTCTCTACAGCTGAATTGGTTTGTGCTGAACTTCTCTGTGACAATGCTAATATTATCATTTGCCAAATTTATAGGTCACCCAACACTGACAAACACCACTTCAACTCAGAGCCAGAACAATGTCTAATTTGGCTTAAGAAATGAACAAAGTAACATCTATTACTGGTGATTTCAACTTTGATCTGTTCTCACTTAATACCAATCCCAATGTGCAAGCATTTTTCACTAACATGCGTTCAAATGGCTTCTTTCCTGCAATATCCAGGACAACTCGATCTTGCTATTCATCATGCTACTCTTCCAGATAACATATTTTGCAATGTATCATCAAAAGTGATGCATACAGGCATTCTCCTTCATGATTTGTCTGATCATTTCCCTATTCTTGCTTCCATGAACTATGCCTCACACCCACACTCCCCTGATGTTCGGATTACCTATTACCACATTTGATTACAAAAGGCTGGAAGAGTTTAAACAATTCCTTGTTGGTCACCTCGTTGATATTGAAAATGAGCCAGAACCTGATACTATTGGAAATCAAATTGTGTATGTTTACAATGCCGGGATCACCGGGTTTTCTCACACAAGGCACATTTCCTCGAAAAACTAGCTCACGCAGACCATGGGTGTCACTGCACTTCTTCTATCAATTACACATAAAAGTAAGCTATCTGAACAGAAATTAAAGAAAACCGGTTCCCAAAATGATGCAACATACACTTCTTACCGTAACATTTTAACTAGATCTCTTAGGCTAGCCAAAAAGAGATACTACAGTGACTGAATTCACTAAACATTCTAGCAACTCCAAGGAAACATGGAAAACATTACACACTCTCATAAATTCAAAATAAAAAGGATGCAGATCCAACCAGGATTGTTGGGGCTAATGATACAATTATCACAGACGATCCGGATATCGCAGAATCATTTAACCACTTCTTCACTGAGATTGGACAACAGTAAAAAAACAAGATTCCTAAATCATCATT